AATATATATATTTATATATATATATCTGATATATATATATATGTACATATATATATACTCATATATATATATATATATATATTATACATATATAAATATATATATATATATGTAGATGTATATATACATAGATATATATATTATACATAGATATATATATATATATATATATGTGTGTGTGTATGTGTAAATGTATTTGCGAATGGTTCCAAGTATAGAAATATACATTATTCTCCGCATATATAATTGTCATCAGATATATGTAATTTGAGATTTTGAAGATCATTTGTCCATTCAATTTGAGCAAGATATGTTGGGTAAAGGAGGGTTATTTATTGTACAGAATACACCAATGGGTAAAAATATACATCAGAAAATAAACCTTTCCTTGTGGAAAACAGCCCCCTTGTTATCAGCTACAATTCGAGCACTCTCAATAAGCTTTTGCGTGCCACACGCTAACACCAAATCACCGAAAATGATATTTTCCAAGTTTGGACGTCCTTGCTCAATCGACCAATTGTTTTGATCGAAGTCGTTCACTTTTTGAATCTCGGATTTCTGGGGTAGCTTTTCTTCATTCATCTCGAAATCGAATTCGGGTTTCTGGGGTAGCTTTTCTTCATTCATCTCGAAATCGAATTCGGGTTTCTGGGGTAGCTTTTCTTCATTCATCTCGAAATCGAATTCGGGTTTCTGGGGCGGCTTTTCTTCTTTCATCTCGTGATCGAATTCAGTCGATGAAAATTTCGTCCGTGAAAAGATATGCTCGTCAAGCTCGTCCTCCGGTTCTTCGGGACCCTGTCCGGTTAAGAATATTTGTACAGTGCTTGCAACGTCATTCTTGTTGTTCATTAGTAGCGTCAGAGTATCTTCCGCCATACGCAACACTGTCTTCTCCCTCATACTCAATATAATTTGCACCCGCTTCACATTGGGATACAATTCAGGTTCATAGATCAAACTTCGCATGAAACCCATGCACGCTGTGAACCCGACTCCGCCACAAACGAACGTGATGTTCTCAAAATCGTTGAAAACAGGAGGTGTTCCATAGCCGAAGTCCAGGTGAACCAATGGGCTCTCGCCACCCAGCTTTGTTAAAGAGCTCGACCAATGACCCAGAGACTTGATGTAGAAAGTGATTCTATCCTCTGCGGGGCTGCTTCCTATCGTTATAGGGTGCCACTGAGTGGTGGAAATTGCTGGGATGTTGATATACGCGAATTGCATCGTTGTGAAACCAATTGTCTTCCCTTGTAGGTCAGAAACGTCGAGACGAACGAATTTATCTCCATATACAGTTATCTTCGACTGCCCCACATCCCTTGTGCATCTGTACAAACGAATTGCCTGATCAATAACCACTAGGCCAATTGCGGGTAGGAGGAGTTGCCAAAGTCGACCGGCGTGCCAGACGACAGTGACAAAAACAACTACGTAGAAGTGATGGGATACGAAGAACCACTCGTAAAATCTCCGACGGAAGAATGGTAGCGTAAGCACACCGAAGACCACCAACATGACGCACTGAACCAGGAAGATCATCGGATTGGTTAAATCTTTCTTCATGTATTCGGGAGTGCCGGTGAAGTCAGACCGCATGGCCCATTGAACCATCCACAAGGCGCCGTGGATTGTCGAAAAGAGAAGGAACAAATATCCGGTAAATCGATGCCACTTGATACTAGCCTCCCAGGATACGCCCATTATTTTGCCAAATACATTGGTGCGGCCTATAGGTAGAGTCAGCAGCGAGATTTGCAGATTTGCAAGGTTGGCTGCCACGTGCGCAACGGCATTAATCTTACTGCACATATCTGTGTCATAGCACTTCGTTACCGTTTTCCCCGATGTGCTATCAACACTGAAGCGATACGTCCAGCCCACATTTAGGGCCAAATACACTAAAACAGCTATTGAAGACCCTAACGTCGTTCGGAACGAACGAAGTCGCAGAGCTCTCTTGAGTATCAATCTGGAAGCGCGGTACTCCTTGGCCAAGGCCATCGCGAGACAAGTAGTGAAGATTGTGAGGTAGAGAACTAAGACCTCTGTGTATATTGAAAACTTATAATCCTCAGGTCCAAAACTCCAACCATCATTGGTCTTGACGTCTTTACTGCGTATAAAACCATTAGCAACATTCCACTTGGCTTGTGGAAAGAGCACGGTGATCAAAAAGCACAGCGGAATGAAAAAAAAGGTGAACGCGATACTGATAGTCCAGCTCGGTATCGGACGCTGCCACTTGGACACCAACCTCCGGCAGGCTATCATCATTAAAGTTGCTGCCAGACATATGGACAGTGCAAACATGCCCCATGCATTAGCTACGATAAATCCTTCTTTGGTTTCATTCCACACATCTCCCCACACGAGAAAGGCTGCCGTTCCAAGTGATATCGCAATGAGTGCTAGGCCGACTGCCACCATAGTCTGATTACGAGGTGAGCACAGGACTAGTGTGAATCTTAAAGCGTACATGAGTGTGATGCATACACATGGAAAGGCAAAGGTGTAGACAACCAATCCAATCAAAGGGATATTCTCAACACCAGACATCATTAGTTGCCAATATGACATGCTCTCCTCCGCTTCCTCACATTCTGTAGAGTCTGCTAGCATACATGGCGACTCGGCAAAAATTGCAAAGCCTATAGCACTTATAAGTACTAGTGCCACGGTCACAATCCAGCTCATAACCACTTTTTTTGGTAGCCCCTCGACATTCTTCGATATCACATCAGGTTGAATGTGATCCGAGGATATGCCCGTGTCAACCTTCCAGATACTATTTAGATGAATCATTATAGAACGGGTTTAATATTGAAGTGTCTTTGACTATGGAATGTGAGTCTGTATTTATATGCATGAAACCCTGCGCTGTTGCCAAGCAAGAGGATATACATTCATATCGATTCAACATGAAAGGCACCAGGCCAGTGAGGCCACCCCCCCCCTCTGATACTCGAAAGTATGGACTAGGACTGTTACGTGACAAATGCACATGTTCTTGATGTTTATAACTCAAAACACGTTCCGAGTCTCCCGTCCCGTCCTATTTTTAAAATATCTATTGCTGACAATGATCAATGTTGAGCACACGAGTCTACCTGATTTATGTTTCTGAATGTCAGGATTGAAATTCCAAGAAGAGAACGAAGAATAAATTTTATATATTACGACTCAGAGGCGTCGGAGTTCATACGGACGGCCACAGCTACAAGACGTAGTCCTACACAGACCACAGTACTCTACAGCCTCCGAGGTGGCTAAATAGAAAATATTCTCTTATCAGTACAATTGACTAAAATCACAATCATATTGACCATCGTGATGACTGTTGTCCGTCCCCCTCTATTCCTCTACTCCCCAATAGTGAGAAAGAGACAGTGTGAGAGAGAGAGAGAGTGTGTGTATGTGTGTGTGAGAGAAGAGTGTCCTCAGTCCTTCCTTCCGTCCTCAGTCCACCCTACCATATTACTCTCTGTACATAATTTAGAGATACTGTAGAGGACTCTGTCTCTCGACTACTACTACTCTGCTGGTAGTAGACTAGAGCTAGAGTGGTAGCCTACTACCAGTAGTCGTAGAGAGAGTAGAGCGAGCGAGAGAGATAGAGAGCGACAGAGAGAGACACACATACAGAGAGAGAGAGTGTGTGTGATTGCGTGTGTGTAAGGGAGAGAGAGATTAAGACACAGAGTCCCCAGTCCTTCAGTCCACAGTCCCTTACCATATTACTTGTACATATTTTAGAATGAATGTATAGACTCTCTCTTTCTACTACTACCACTACATACTACTACTAGTAGTCTACTCTCTCTTTCTCTCTAGCTAGAGTATAGTGAGTGAGAGAGAGAGAGGGAGAGAGATGGAGAGAGAGAGAGCTAGTAGAGTCATTAACAGAGATACAGGGGGACGGTACGAGTTATGTTAATGTAGGACGGTCCCTGTGGACCCTTTATAATTGAGTTATGTTAATGTAGGACAGTCCCTGTGGACCCTTTAAAATTGATAGACTTCTATTTTTTATTTTGTTTAAAAATAATAGTAGTATCAAACTTTTTTTTCTCAACTAGAGTAGACTAGTGAAAGGACCAAGATCGGACGGATGATAAATATTTATCTAGATGAGCGTTTTGATTTGTGCTATGTTTTACAAAAAAAGATGAAGTAACGGTGAGAGTTTATTAGTTTTGAACCCTCTCTGCAGTCTCAGTTTGCAGTCCACATATTTGGTGTTTCAATGAAAAATAAACCGAGGACGACATCAGATTATTTCATTTACACCGTGACACACACATGGCGCTGGAAGTTTAACGTTTATACCCCTTGGAAGGTCCTTTTTTTAAAGATTGAAAAATAAAATTACCTATACTCTGAATCTGTTGCATACGAGATACAGTCACTGTCTGATAGCAGAATCACACAATTATAGGTGATTGCCCACGACTACCGATTTATTAGCGCGGCAAGCGGAATTGAAGGTGAAAACTAAAAAGCATCAGATAGCGACTATAGGCTGGAGTGTGGCCACAGTGGGGACCGCTGTGCTGTTCTGGCCGTTGGCTGTGCTTGCCTTCCCCGTTGCCGTAGGCGAGCTCAAACACGGAGCACGCAAACTCAAACTCAAGGGCAGGAAGGTCAAGGAAGAGTTGAAGAAACGCTGTTTAGCCAATGTTATGTACTGTAATGACAATTCGACAACACCTGATTAGTATTATGGCTATCGCGGAATGATAGATGGAATTTACAATAAGACTAACCGTCAACGCGACTCGACTCAGTGCTGCCCAGGTACCCTACAGCAACTTATTTTGCCCCTTCCGATCGCGATACTGTGGCGTATGTGCCGTACGCATACTCGAGTGCTGACCCGCCGAAGTACAGTGATATATCAAACTATCCTTCCTCTTCTTATGGAGGGTAATCGTCCGATGAAACATACAACTATCTGCAACAGACGGATAACCACCACGTGAGTGAGATATTTCGAACAACCTTGCGTCGCCTTCACAGGCAGGATATGCGCGAAACGAATACAGCACGAATCGTCACTCATAGCAGCCATCATAAAACCCGAATCCGTTCAGTCATCGCATCTCAGACTCGCAGCGGCTTCGGAAGCAACACCCACAACTTTTTTTTAATATAATCCAATCCACATCTATTGTTCTTCATTCAAGTTAATATTTACATTCAAGGATATTCGTTGATTTCTGACTGATTTTTAGTAAATAAAGGTATCCTAAAATGCGAGCATAACACCTTGTCCAACACCCATTGGTCAGTATTGAAATATTTTAACTTCAAGCTTCTTTCCCAGTTTCGTTCGAGCTTTTTACTGAAAAGTCTAAACCCTAAACCCTAAACAAATATCACCAAAATTAAAAATAGCAAATCTTTGAACATAGTCTCCTATAAATTTTGGGTTGAAGACGTGTAATATTTTGAAATGGTGTCCATCCGATTTTTTGGCGGTTTTGTAAAAGTTTGTTTATATTAAAAAAGAGCAATAAAAAATAATGTGTAGATGGCAGTGTATACTCTATTTATGACTTTTTGTCGCCAAAAAAAATTACCCTGGTTCCTGATTATGAACGTGCGATATTATTTACATCAAATTCAATAGCTATTGGTCTATACTGGAATAGATTTACTTCAGCCTTCTTTCTCAGTGGCTGCTTAATTATAGGACAAGTCTATGACTCTAAGCTATTACCGGATGGTAAAATAATATATATCAAAATGGTTTTTATAGAAATAAAAACATTCCTTAACCCCGGTTAAGCCTCTGACCGTCCAGAAGGCCCGACCACAGCGGCATAAATAGCCTCCTGGCTCCTGCATAGCCTCCTGGCTCCTGCATAGCTTCCTAAAGTATCTATAAAGTATAAACTATAACCCCCCCCCCCCAAACCCAACATACTAAAACCCTAAAACTTTGTTCAGTTTGTGCTGGAATATTGTGAATTATCGATGCCCGATTGCCCCGTCCGGCTTTTGGACGATTCTGAGAAAGCAGTTATTATACAATAGGTCTCTCGATTTCACGTAAGTAGCTGATAGAATTACTACTCCTGTTCTGACTGAATATTTGTGGAAATGATATCCTGAACGTGCGAGGATATGCCAAATCCAACACCTATTGGTCTGTACTGAAATAGACTAACTCTAACCTCATTTCTTAGTGGCTGCCAAATTATTTTACAAGTCGAAGATAATACTAAAAAAGGGCTGTAAGCCTTCGGCCTGCCCATAGCCGCATAGCCGCAGAGCCTCTTACATAGCGTCCAAAAATATCTAAATACGTATTGTAAAGCCCACATTGTTTTTGTTTTTTAATTAAAAAAACAAAACAAACCAGTTTGTTGGAACCGTAGCCTTCTAAATTGTATAATTTAGTAGGCTATGTTTGAACTTGTTCAATTTTAGAGGGCTATGCTTATTTATTGCTTTGACAGTGAGCGTTTGAAGACTTGGCTGGCGATGTCCGTCCGTCCGGGGTTTGAACAATTTTGAGAAAGTTGTTTTTAGGTCTCTCGATTTTTACGTAAGTAGGTGGCAGTGCCGATAAAATTACTCCATTTCTGACAGATTCTTTGTGAAAGAATTATATCCTGAACGTGCGAGGATACGCCAAGTTCAACACCGATTGGTCTGTACTGAAATAGACTATTTATTTACATAACTTTCTTCAAGTCTTCAACTCGGGGGGTTTTTTAAACTTACAGGGACCATATGTATTACTATTTAGCCTCTATTTTTTAGTTATGCCCAGAGCATCAGTTCATCACCCATTGGTCTGTGTACTGAAATATACCTAGCCAAGTAAGCCAACTGATTATACAGGCCTGACAAGGTCCATTTTAAGAACATATCAGGCAGGTAGATTTTATGAACCGGTAAAAATTGTACCAGAACTTAGTCAAGGTGGACATTCGCACTTGTACACGCGCGATAGACATGCTGCCGAGGTTTACAATAGGTTAGTTCTGTAATATGTTCTACCGCTTGATGATGTATATATGCCAGATATTCCTGTTATATTGAACCGCCTTTGCATGCTCAGATTATATTATGGTCGTGACTACATAAGTGGGTTGGGGTCTGGGACTGGTGTGTCTACCAGGAAATTTGCACATCCTTCCGTATCATATAGCAGCACATCGTGAAATGAGGCCTATAGGAGAATGATCAAAAGCCGTCCCGATGTCGAATACTGCCGGTGCTTGAATGTTTTTTAAACCGGTGGCAATCAAATAACTGACAACTCCCCATTACACGATAAAGGCCACGTACTAAATTGTAAGTCAGGCATTCATACCAAAACATTTAATCTTGAATAAAACACAATTCACTCGAGTTGCACGATCATTATCGTTACTGCTGTCGTTTCTGATTAAGGTATGATTGACTGATAAGTATTCACTGTTGAATGCGCACAAAAAACGGCCTTCCCAAAAGTAATGGTGCATTAAATATGCTGTAACTATATATAAATGTGTGCATATATTAACTAAAAACCTACGACTGCTTGTATATATAAGTCACACTTCAAAATGTACGAACATA